TGGAAACACAAGCAGGATCAATTTTCCTTTTAACGTAAGTTTTCACTAGTGAATCTTTAATAAATAGTGAAGTATCAGAGTGGGGTTATTCCACAAGCTTCACATCTCTGCAGGTAAACTGAAAGCTGACACCTAGCTGTTGCCATGACACTGCTGAGGGAAAGTAAAGGGTGCTGGGTGCACTACAGGATGACACATGCAGAAGGTCCGAAGCTCTTTAGTCATTGATTCTCACAAAAAGCTATTGGTGTTTGGGAAGGAATGAGTTCATCTATATTTTTATTCCTTTTTGACGGCATAAAGTCAAAAGGAGAATGGATTACAGGTGTTCTGTGTAGACCTGTGGCCTTGTGATCGATGTGTCAGACAGCATCACAGGCCGAACCACGGACCTCAGCACAGGTGAGTCCAAACCATCAGCACAAGGCAGCCAGTTCTCAACTTTTACTGGGTGAACCACCACAAGGTGCTATATCCTTAATTATGCTGCTACAGATAAAAGAGACAGCGTTGAACATTGCAGCCTTTTTGATGCCTAAAAAACTAGGCCATGCAAACAAGTATGTCTCCAGTTACAAAGTTATCTCTCCTTCGGTGTACATTGTGATCGTCTTTCATTCTCTGTGTGGATTTTATGAAATATGCAGAGCTCAGATAGTGTTGGAGTAAGATTTTCAGTCCTTAACTTAACGAAATTTCAGAAAATGATGCAGGTTAAAGTTTAATCCATTTTGTATTTATACCGACCAGCTGTGAGCAGGATATTATGGGATATCTTCCCGGCTTCATTAACCTGATTCATTACAAATCCCCTTTGGACACATATTAGGTAAGCAATTAGCACCAACAAATGGATTCCAAGACAGAGTTTCCATGTTGAAAATTAAGTAGTTTGCTTCTTACAGATTTTGAAGCAGTTTTGAGGTAATGATTACAAATAAACTAGATCAAATGATCATCTACACATATAACCACCTCTCAGAAAGTAAAAACTGTAGCAGGTTTTCAGAGCTGAGTTTTTTTTTTTAACAATCTAAACAGATTTTTCTATGGAGAGGTGATCTTACATGAGAAAAAGGTTTAAAGAAATAAGAAATGATAACAGGAGGAAATCCTAATTTCCAGTTGTAGCTCAATCTCATTTAGCATGTTAAAGGTTACAATTTATGATGTCAGTAGTTCATAAAAAATATTAAAAAGGCACCATATCTGTTTGAGAAAAAATACATTTTCTTTGGCAAAGCATGAATGATTTTTGCACAATGCTGTTTAATAAATCTGAAGATTTCTTGAACGACTACTTTGAACAGATGAGAGTAAAGCAGATGAACTCCTGTTTGCCACAACATGATGACCTTTTAAACTATGATACAGTATCAGTTTTGCAATGACCAATAATCATTTCTTTTATGTAATGCCAGGGTGGGACCTAAAAAGAATAGTGGAGGATTTTCGTGAATTTCTGAAAAGACCCACCCTCTTTAAAAAAAATGTACATGCACAACCCTGTACCTGCTCCCGAGAGCGTGCAGAAGCCCATTTCTTCTCATGCATGCTCTGTTTAAAAGTTGCTGTTTGCATCGTTCATACAGGCTTATTTTCCAAAAGATTTGCAATTTTTCCACTATGTCAGGCTCACCTCCTGTATGTGAAAATGGAGATGAGCATGTAGGACGGCCTTAGGTAAACATATTAGCAGACTGACAGTTAGGAGGACCACTTATTTTGATGATCCACTCCAAAAAAAAAAAAAAAAAAAAACATCCTCCACCATACATTTAAGAGAGCTGAACCTGACCAAATATCTACTAAACTAAATAAACTGAAACATGAGGAGAAACGGGACATAATGTCTTATATGTTTACCATGTACCATGCGGCAATTAAGGTTGTTTTACAGGAGCCTGAGCTTGAAGCCTGGTATATTTAGGAGTCTTAGATTCCTAACGTCTACTTTGTGGATAGTTTACTCTTAGGCCTGCTCTTCTTTTGCCTTCTGTCTGATTATTTTCCTCAAATGTATCTATACTAACATACACTATATTGCCAAAAGTATTTGCTCACCCATCCAAATTATTGGAATCAGGTGTTCC